TCCAACCGTCTCGCCCTCTCCCCAGCCTTCGCTGAGTATCGCGCCGACGAAATGACGAGAACTTTCTGGAATGTCGTGCGGAAGGTATTTAATCGAGCAGCCGAGACGAGAGAACAGGAGAAGACGGAAGTTAGCGCCAGAGCGCGTAGGGTATACCGCCGTGTAGTCGGCGAAGGTTTTGTCCGTAGGGACAAAGCAGAAGAAGAAGAGGATTTCCACCTGATGGGTGAAGGCTCGAGCTACCGGCAAGAGCGTGTGTTTACCGCTATCGAGCGAAGACGCGTGGCAACAGCTGTGTGTATGAAGCCGACGTGTTTCCGGCGAAGAAGTTTGAAGCTTGGAGAGTGGCCTATTGAAGGCGTGAGGTTTCCTGGAAGAGAAACTTCGGAGAGGTTTCCTGGAAGAGAAACTTCAGGGGGCTGCGGAACGACAACAACACTGGACTTTGAGTGAGTGATTCTCGGAAGAGTATCATCCGGACTTTTGTTCCAAGAACTTTGGACTGAATAGGTTTTCTATCTCTTTAGTCTTTAAGTGTCTTGGTTGTTCAATGCATGCGACTGCATTGTAGTGCGTATTGTTGTCTGTGTCCGTTGTTTCGAGTGTGGCTGATTGTACTGTGTAGTACGTTGTTTGATTGGTGACATATTGTATGCAACTATTGTGGAGTGTGCATTCTCGTGTGTTGTTTTCGATCTGCCATTATTGAGAATATAACTTTGTTTGTTTATCAACTCTCGGCTCTGACTTGTTCTTTGGGCCACAGCCGGCGTCCGCTGGCGCGCCAAAAAGGACCACTTCTAAATTGTCCACGCTTTCGTGGTGCGGTTCGGGGGGCTGATACTTCGGCCCTTGGAATTAGCCCGGCGATCGCCTCCCTAATTAACGGGTCCTGTGTGTGACATCGACCAGCCCATCTGACGTGAAGTGCCTCCTCGTCGACCTCTGCACGGACGGATGCGCACGAGGGGCTCGCCAGCTACAGCAATGCAACTGATAGGACGACCCACGTCGTATTAGTCGCCTTGCTGCTGTCTGTGCGGAAGGCGTCGCGGAGGCACCTCACGTTGACAGTCGGAACCTTTTTGCTCAATGAAAACATTACCGTGCTATCGCCATCTTATCGAAACCCACTCGCTCGCCGCACGGTAGCGATCCATCCAAGACACCACGGAGGAAGGAAAGCAAGGCACCGAAGGGGTGAGGGTGCTTCCGCACGATGGAACAGCCGCAAACACTTCCCTTGTTTCCGTGACTCAGCGGCGACGACAGTAATTGTCGGCGTGTCTTCGGTAGATCCGCGGATGAGCGAAAATTCGCCCCATGTCTTTGCTTCAAACGACCACCAAGCAGGCAATCTTGGGGGAGTTAACAATGCCCTATCTGAGACTTCCCCGGCGTCTGAATAGGCAGCTCGAGCACCCAACGGAAGTGTTTCCTTCGCTACCCTATTATGTATCTCCGACCCCGTCCCTCCTTAACACGGATTTTGGCGGGGGCTGCGCCACTTAGCCGGAGAGGGACAATGGAAGAGCTGGGAGCATGGCTGAAAATGAGGTGCAGGTGTTCAAGTTTGGTCCGTGGCACTGCGTCATCAGCGCGTCACCTCCAGGGGCGAACTATTGCTCGCGCTGGCATCCTCCTCGCACCCCTTCTTTTCCCTCTTTAGTGCGATGCGAGACCAGTAATTCCAAATCTGCGGACGAGGACAGTTGGGCGCAGGGAGGAGAGAGCGAATGGCGAGAGAAGTGGCGAAGCGCTGCACCTACCCTCTCCTACACGGATTCGCTCGCAGGATTTCAAGCTGGACGGTTGTGCCCTCACGATCTCCGACGCCAGCGTAGCTCCCGCCGACTGGTTCGCCCTCCGCGGTCTCCTGACGCCGTGCAGCTCTCGCATTGTGGCGCCCCGCCCTTGGGCTGCTTCGACCGGATCCCCATTTTCCTATCTCCTTCTTTTTTCCGTCGCTTGCCTGTCTACTTCTTCGTCTATTTTCCTTCTATTCTTTTAGGAGCGAAGCTCCTTAAGGCGTGGGCTGTGCGTCCCCTGTATGTAGCCACCTCTCGTTCAGTTCTAAGTATTACGCTAGCCACCGCCCGATCTAAAGGGTACAGCCATATCCATCCGTCCATCCATCCATCCATCCGTCCGTCCGTCCGTCCAAAAGATGCAAGATGTTATAAACTAGACGGCGGTATGTGTAGTTGATTATGAAAGATGCGAGGTGTTATAAAATAGGAATGATGCCACATATGGCGCGTGTCATCGTTCGATATAGTGCGGCGACGTACGCTAGGGGGAGCGTTGCAATAAAATCGAGTGGGCAAAATGTACGGAGGATTCATGGTTTACCAGGTTTACCTCCGGAGCTTCGCCCACTCATCATCATTCACTTCGTGGATATGGCGGCATTTTTTTTATCCCTCCTTCCCCCCACCCCTATAAGGCACTGCGCCGTGTCGCCTGAAGGCAGACAGAAATTAGGTGCCTTTTTCCTCTTTCTTCTAACCACTACCACCACCTCTCCTACACCCTCTCGCACCACATGCTCTGATTGCTAGTGGTAAGGATAAGAACGGGCGCCCGCAGCTGGTGCTATGGCTAAGGGAGTGATAGTGCTGAGATACCACCTACCGACGCCTGGCACAGCCTAAGATATGCATTCGTATTTAAAAAAGAGCAATGAAGACCGTGGTTCACTGGTCCGAGTGCAGAGTGTTTGAGACGCCTGGTCTAGGGCAGCCGACGGCAGAAAGGCGTGGCCGGAGAGAGACAGCTCCTTTCGTAATGCGCGTGCACCATGTTATATGTCTGATACAGAGAACGTTCTAAATTCGAAGCATTTCTTGGCGAACTTCGGCGACTTTGACAGTGTCTATCTATCTATCCATCTATCTATCTATCCGCCTACGACATTTAACTTTCCTGGCCGTTTCGATAATGAATCTACACCAAAATTGGTATGGCATAACATGACTGTATGACGAGCATACATGAGTAATCTTAACATGAAAATCATGACATGTACGTCATAAATTGCACATCATAGTCTTTCTGCTCTGCTGTGTTTTCGCTCACATGACATTGCGAAAATGGTATGATATGACATGACTGCATGGCGAACATAGGTGACAGGCCATAACGTGAAAATCACGACAGGGATGTCATGTAAGTCAGACTACACGCTACGCTCATGGTGCTATCGCGGCCGTTTCGCTAGCTTCACATATACCAAATTTGGTCTTATGCGACTTGAATGGACGGTGAACACAATTAAAGGCCAGGTGCAAACGTGATAATCATGGCATGGAAGTCATGCACGGCATAACGCATCAACCTTCCTCATTCGTGCTTGGCACATCATTGATTCCCACAGTACGCGAGATCTGGCAATTTTTTTTACAACCTCAGTTCATCATCAAAATTAGCACTGGCGTCACAAAAGGCATTCACATATATGAGACATGATTTGCCGGAATTTTTTTAATGCATCATTAGCATTGATAATAAAAGAACACTAGGCATATATAGAATGCAGATTTCATGTATGCAATAATTTGGAACAATAATTTTTATTTCTGGTGATGTATACCCAAAAACAATAACCGTTTACATATGCCTGCTTCATTTTATTTTGTGTGGGTGTATGCAATTTACAAACTTGGCATATTTCGTGTAAACTGAGAGAACTGACCTACAAAGTCGTTTCTTCTGTCAAGCTTTTTGGAACCTTGTGGGCATTTAGTGTCGTCCAATGTGTGAACATGCCAGACTACTTTAGTCCGCAATAGTGAACAATCAATCCATCAATCAATGAATGAATCAATCATTCGCTTGCCCGAAACAGCCAAATGTCTTTTTTGCACACAAAATAATACTAAAAGAACAGGAATCACTGTCATTACCATCCTGAGGGGCACCATCTAAACTAGTTGCGCCTCTGAGTCGAAGCCAAAGCGCGCTCGAGAAACTGGCCGAAAGCGGGCATTGGCCCCCGAGGCCTTGATGCGCGCGCCCTTGCCACCCGGCCTGCACTACCCAGACTGCTCTGGGTACTTTGCTGCAATGGCCTGGCAAACATGAGTTTTCAAGCGAACCAAATGTCGCCGCTGTTCTTGAAAGGCTGTCTGCTGTTCGGGCGTCCATAGGATCTGCGCAGGCTCAGCACACAGCTGCGCGCGTGAACGACATCACTGACGGTGCATCCATTCGTATATGTGCTTGGGTTCGACGCAAAGAATGGCATTACTAACTGCGTTGCCAATGAGGCTGTTATCAAAACTAGTGAAGAACGGTTTTTGTAGTGTCGCCAAGCCATATATCGCTTTTGCTGCAAAACATGTGAAATAAGCTCTCTGAACAATCGCACCTTTGAAGTGACACTATGATGCCTTCTTTCTCATTTTTGTATGAAAACCTTGTCTGCAACACTTAACTCTCAACAGACTTTCATTTCGTAAGAATTCTTTAGGTGTTCCCCATATGGCAGGACAACTGTAATTTTTGAAGTTGTTTCGAAACTGCAGTGCACATTAAGTCGAAGCTTCCAAATGAATGAGGTCCTCCATTGAGCAATGAGGTTTTCAGTGTTGCAGCTCTATTGCGAGAAACGCATGTCTGGCATGGTGACACATGCCAGACATGCGGAGAACTCTACAAACTTGTCCTCCCCCTCCGATATGGTCCCTTGAAGTTCTTTGTGCCAAGTAATCTCGCACAGCGATCGTAATGTGCAACGAGATGCGGACCAAGAGTGACGATGTCTGCATGTTAGCACATCTCAACTGGTATTGGTTGAGCAGCAAGGAAATACTTGGACAAATTGAGGCACGCAAGACATACATCCCTCAGTGTTGCATGTGCACCTTAATTCATCTACAAGGCAGAAGTTCAGAAGATGGAAGCTTGGAGAGATGAAAATCACTTGAACAAAAGGTTTCATGCAAGTTTCAGTGTATGTGGATAGTGCAACTTGAAGGAAAGGACAGCAGCAACACATATACTTTCCTCCAACAAACTCATGACAATAGTTCTTTATTTTCTTCCACAGCAGCAGCAAGTAGCAGTACATCACAGATCGCGTTTTTTTTTTCTCTCCGCGTTCTCTTCAAACCAGTAGAGTTCAGAAGCCCAACCAGTGCTGGCCGAGTTCGCTATCATAAATTAAAGAATTGTACACACTTCCGGACGCAGCGCCAACGCCGGCTTTCTTTCGGGCTTGTCCAGCAGAACTTTTTTCTCGCACATTAACACACACACATGCATGCACACACCGAGATAAAATGCGCAAACCACAATGGTTGCAAGCACGAAAATGGCCACAATGAAATCAACACCAAGTGCACACACACAAAGACAGAAAAAAAAAGAGCAATAAAAGAGAAGCGCAAACCCACAGCAAAAACTGACTATAAAATAAGGCAGGAAACATTGACGTGAAGGTTTGCAAGAAACTGAAGGCCATAGGAAAGTCTTGCTTTTATCAATCAGTGCTGAAAGCTTATATCCTTTTATCTATATATATATATGTATATTTATATATATATGTATATTTATAGGCTCTCATGATATATCTCTATATGTAGCATAAGCTGTCAGGCCATACAATAGACTTCTGTATGTACACAAAGCTAGTTAAACTATGATGCTGCATTTTTTTTTTTTGCTTTTTCACCTCAAACCTTACTGTTCACAACTTAGGTCTTACTCATCAGCCCAAACACCATGTTAAAGAGCGTAAAATATACTAGATGGGTTGCAAAATGAACAGCACGACAGATTGAATCCTGCCAATTTTGTTCCTCACTCTCCACTTGTCCCTCACAAATTCGCAGAAGGTGACCACACCAAAATATACGTCTTTTCAGTGAACACACCTTCAGAGGCACTTGGCAACTACTTCCGCGAGACAGTTGCACCACACGAAGGTATGGAAGGCATTAACTTGAGGCTGGGCAATGCGAACATGCGTTAAGTTAGTTGTGGGTTGAACAAAGACTGCTCGGCACACTCACCGCAGCACAATTCACACAAGAGATTGGGGGGTGGTGAGAAAAACCAAAGATGAATCAGCTGAGCTTTAAAAGCTGCGGTCAAGTCGTGGCAGTTCACAAAGAAAATTATCAACTGTTATCCCAAAGCAATAAAGAGTGTTCAAAAATTTTCTTGTATGTTTTACCCAAACATGTGAAAGGACGCAATTCTCTGTCATTGGCTTACATTAGACATAGTTCCAGCTGGCAATGCACACACAGCACAGATACACTTCCACTAATAAAGAAACAAAAGACAACCTGTGCAACAGCACCAAAAGCTTGTATCAATGGGAAAAGGCTACACTGAGTGCCAATACATCGGGTAGGTGCAGAACACATCCACTGCCTGCAGCTAAGTGCAAGTGTTACAAAAAAAACAAGGTGTCTTTGAAGTCGGAGGCTTGCCAAAGTGTTCACACACACACAAAAAAAGAAAAAGCGATGCCAGTGCCTATGCAATACATAAATTACTCACACAAACTCCAACTAAAATGATTACAATAGCAGAAGTTTATCAACAGACAGTCAACTGCCACAAACAACCTTGCAGAGAGACTTCACACGCACCACACAGAGGAGAGGGAAATGGTGCACATTTATAATTGAGCACAGAAATGGTCACTCACAAACTGGTCATTCCCAAGCATCTGGAAAAGAAAACCCTTCCTGCGACAGTCCAGTTGAAATGCACTGTGTTGTCTTCACTAGAGGCTGTCGTAGACCGATAATGGTAGTTCCACAACCCAGTGAAGGGGAGGAACAGGTGCGAGGTTTGGTACACAAAAAGAAACTCGGCCTACATAAGCCAGTTCACTTATTGGTGTTCGCCGGCAACTTCAATTACACAGAAACGACTTGTGTAGTTTGAAGCACTCAACACTTTCCTTATTGAAAGTGGAGCTGGAAGCAAAAGGTCCACCATAGCGTGTGTTGATGAAATCTTGGACAGAAAGCCATGCAACAAAGCGCTGTTATGCATCGACGTCAGTTTAACGCTTCATTACGTTAAATATTCTTTACCTAGTGCGCGTCTACACTAGACCATGACTCGTTTGAAGTTGCAATACTTGTGGTCTTTATAGGAAAAATGTACGTGCCAGCACACTCATCAGTGCTACTGGCAGGCTCTTCCAGAAAGCTAGTCCAGTGGAGGTGTTGCATTGACTTCATCTATGATTGGAACAGATCAGCACAGTAAAACACAAGCTTTGAAGTGCGAAAAAAACAAGACATAGGCACAAAAACGAAAAACCGAGGCAGGAGTGATCCTTGATTTCGATAAAGTACAGCTTCGATGAATGACCATTCCCAGGTTCTACCGAAATCCAGCAAGCGGTAAAAGAGGACAAATGACGCTGAATTTTTATCAATGCGAGAGCTTAGAAATAGGGCAAGAATTCTTGAGTGCGTGTAAAGAAGCTACCTTCACGGTGCCACAGAATGAATGCAGTTGAAGCCTGAAGTATACACTACACTCAAGCTTTACATGCCACGTACAAAAAAAAAAATGCTCTCCGGACTTGCCTAACCCTAGAGTGTACGAGAGAGGCCAGGTTGTTTATTATTGGTACAATCTCACTACACGCAAATTTTTCAAACACTTTCTTTTACACAAATCTAGTGAACAATTTATCTTGTTGCTACATATTATAAAGCTGCAAAGATGCTTGAGTGTTCACATTTGCAACAAACAGAGCCCCACCTACTCTGTGTGCAGTTCAAAGGTCATGCCAGGGAGAGAAGTTTGCACACTCATTTCACATGGTCAGACGCGTCTTCAGCTAGACAATGGTGTGTGCAAATGCCAAAAGGCGCCCAGAATTCTTGTAACGAGAAATGCCCTGGTGTTCAAAGGGGCACAGACACAAATGGTACAGCTGTTCTAACCGGGGCATGATGTTTATTTGCCAGATTACGAGGTCACCTGCGTACTGCACTACCAGCATAGAAAGAGAGAGAGAGAAAAAAAAAAACTGATGAAACTGGCCTTACCTCCAATTTTTTTTTTTTTTTTTAATTTCGCGAAATTTTGAGGACGCTTCCCACGAGCCCTGGAGGGTACACAAAATATTTTAACAGCTCTCGTGGCATCATGTGCGTGCCAGAAAAGCCGCACATGCCTACAAACAGCTGGACCGATTGCTCAACCAAGCGTGGTGACAACGTGCCCTCATTTGTTTTCTTTTTTCTTTTTTTAATACAAAGATGGTAACTGCTGAAATGAAAACAGTTCTTGTTCCAGCTTCTCCAGTCTTGGGAGAGGATGAAATCAAAGTACATGATTTGCATACAAGTTCCAAACACAACAGACAGTCTGCACTTGTCTTGCTTCGGTGCCTTGCAGACCGGACGAAGCCGGCCGCTCGGAAATTTAACACAAGCACACATGAAGAAAAAAAAAAAAGGGGGCTTCTTTTTCAGCCCAAAGGAATTTCCAAAGGGAGGAAACGTCATCCACTCGGCCACGCAGATGCACACATGCCAGACAAATGTCACTTAAGTTTCTTGAGATGAGACCGGCAACCTGTCAAGCGCTGGCATAGGGGGCTTGGCATGAGGCACCGTTAGGCTCGGTGCTGGACACAAACAGGAGAGAACTGAAGCTCTCGTAGGTGGTAGATTGCAAACATTTTTTCTTCTTTTTTTCCGGCTCGCACACGCGCGCCCACACTCGCACAATTTCAGTTGAGGTGGAATCCCTTTTCGCGGGTGGCGGCGAGAAGCCTCTCTCGAAGCAGGGCCTCGGAAGAGTAGTCGGGCAGTTTGAGGTAATGGGCGCACGTGTTGACCGACGGGAAGGAGCCGTCGGAGGCGTCCACCTTGCGCACCACAGTCAGCCTCGGGTGCAGGTTGGCAAGGCCACCAGGAGGCAGCGACGAGCAGCCTGTGGTGAACTGGAGGAAGGCTTTACGCTCGGATCCAGTCATGTCGACCAGGACGTTGACAAAACGCTGGAAACCAGGGCTGTGGCATTGAAAGAAAAAGGAGGTAGAAAAGACGAGGTGAAGATGCTGCAACTTCAAAAAAAACACGCAGGTAAACATTGCCGGGGAAAACTTTTGTTTTAATGTAGGTGCAGCGTTAGCACCATCAACACAACCACCAAGCGAGAGTTGACTTTGTAGTTGCCGCTTCAGGCCCAGAGGAGGAGGAGGAATAAATGAGGAAGAACAGGGAGGTTAGCCAGTTCCCAGACCGACTGGCTACCCTGTACCCAGAAATCACAATACAACTATGAGGGATGCCGTAGTGGAGGGCTCTTGAAGTTTAAATTGATTGGATTTCTTTAACGTGCACATAAATCTGAGTACACGGGCCTCTATCCATCAAAATGCAGCCAACCAAAAGAAGATGAAGCGATGCATGCACACCGTGAGAGCTTTGATGAACCTTAGAACGAAGCAATAAAAAAGAAGAACAGTTCAAATTGCATCTAAGCACTGAGAAAATGCCTTGCTCTTTCCCTATTTTACGTGCACTCTACATAGGATACCAAAAATAATTTGCATTCAAAGAGGATCTTGGCTTGAGCTAGTTTTTGAACATTCATATTTCAAGAAAAGTAAATGACGCAAGCAAGAACAGTGATGCCCGTCTGCATTTTAGTTTCAGTTTTAGTTTGTTCGAAGATGTAAGGCATTTCTTGTTTTTGATATTTATTAAAGATAGTCAACCATGGACAACCACAAACACTGTTGCTTTTGTTGAAATGTTGTTTCCTTGCGTTTAAATGCACGAAGCTTCTGAAGCGAACAACTTGGTCGTCATTGCCCGGATGCTGAAGGGGCGATGAAAACTAAAGGATAACGTTATCTGGGAAACCGACGGGGCTTCATTAATGGTGTGATTGCCCAATAAGGTATCAACTGATGCCTAAGGTAGCCCTATTGATTGGTGTGCCGAACAGTCGGCCATGCCAGAGTCCACGCACCTGTCCCTGGTGTAACCCAGCTTTGGCTCAGTGTAGTTCAACACATCCTCACGGCTCCAGACCGGGTTCTGCTCCCCGCACAGCATCAGCCGAACTTCTTCGCAGCTGAACGCACCGAGCTTCTCCATGGGGAACACCTTGCAGAAGCCGGCTGCATGAAAAAGAACATCAAAGACAGACTGTGAGAACTTGGTTCCGAGAAGATTCAAATATGTGCAGCATAGTCCCATTCTGAAGGAAACACCAAGCAGACAATTGGGAGTTTTCGAATAGTGTACGCTAAGTTAGCAGGCATAGCGAGCATCGCGTTTGCATACGAGCACAATAAGAGTTTTCGATTAGGGTTTGTCGCTTGTAAACGCTGGCGCATGCTTGAGCATTCGCGAAGGGGCTTCGCGGTCCTTGCAGGCCGTACACTATTTCGAATTTGTGGCAGGCAGACTGCAAACACTAACGGCAGTTAGCGTTGAGACGCATGCGCAGTGGCAGCAACCACAACAGATAGCATTTGTGTATGCTATTTGACAACTCCTCGATAAAGCACATCACAAATATTGAAAAAGAAACAGGCTGATAAATTGCAGTAGGCTCCCCATACATCAATTAAAAGATGGCCTAAAAGAAGACAGGCAATATTTGCGATCAAACGAACATGCATTCAAAGCCCAGTTGTACCGAACCCAAATCTCACAACTAATGAAAAAAAAAAAAACCTTTATTCCATGGCACAATATAAACCTGTTGAACTACGCTGTTTCAGATGCTCAACTGTTGGCTCCAACAATGTTCTCTGTTATCTGGTCTTTCTTCAAGCTTCAAACTTGTCTGTACATCACAACAAAATTGCTTTTGGTGAGGAGGGAAAGCTGTCAGCCATCCACCTTTTTTTTTTTTTTTTTCAAGGTGCAACGCAGCACCTACCCTTCCCCTAGTGGAAAAGACTCGAAACGCTGTGTTAGGGTCCGTGCACGTCGTCCGATACGCACCCCTGCATCAACCCACAATGCCCTGCCACACTACCCACTATGGCAGAAAGTGGCACAGAAAAACGAGAAAAAGGCAGATGCGGCGCAAGCCGGTGCTCACCCCGGAAGGCCTCCATCTGGCGGCGGATGCCCGTGTGCAGGCAGAAATCGGCGAGGAGCTCCGTGTACTCCTCAATGTTGTCAAGGGTCACCTCGTCCTGCTCGCCTCCGGGCTTCAGATCGACGGCGTCGAAGCCGTACACCTTGGATGACGGGCAGAACTGGAAGGTCAGCCTGAAATCAAGCAGGCAAAGGTAGCGCTCAGACAACACTCCCGATCAACAAGACAACTAAAACTTTCCCGTGCACAAAAGCTGATGCACGTTAGTTGAACCCAGGCGTAATGATGCGGGTGCTAAGGTGGTAAACTCTGGCAGATCCCACATTGTAGGAATCTCATTTAAGCACTCAGCGAGCAGGTAACACAGTGTTTTTTAAAGGTAACTTTGGCACACTCATTCAACTCATTTTAATTTTTGAGGGCTTGAACAGTGGGAGTTTTTCTGCTGTTTTTTCGAGGCGTTAAGGGGGGAGGTTACACTTGATGCACAACTTTTTTTATTTATCTATAGATCTCTTTTTATAGGTAAAGTATCTTCCAAGATACTCCCCAATCACTGTAAAACCTGGGGCCTTTGTTTGCAGCATAATTAGCATCTAAGCAGGAAGCACCAAAACATTCACGACAGTGTAGAAACAATGTTGGATGTTTAATAAGGGCAATATGCTATAAATCAATTTGCTGGGCCAATTTCAACAAGAGTTAGAGAGCATTATTGTCCAGAGAAAAAAAAAAGCCACTTCACCTGTCACTCATGCGACCCAATAAAAAAAAAATTTGAACTCTATATTGCCTTCAAAATAAGCAAATGGCATACAGCATGCATTTATATTTCTGGCAAAAGAAGAATTATGCTAATATTTCAAGTAGAACAGAAGTTATTTTCACTCTAATTTGGCAAATGTGCCAAAATTGATGTTTTGAGAAAACGAGAAAAAACGTTTCAGAACACCTTTATTGAAAAAATACTAATAAAATCTTATGAAAGTGCACCAGGGGCATAATCTGGATGCATCCCATCCTTATGCTTCTTCTCAACCAGCTTTCTCAGACTTAGGGACGATTTTTATATTTGAGGTTGCACTCTATTGACAGTCCTTCTCCCTAACCCTCGGGGATGTGCTGCTGAACATCGTGATGCCCAGCTGCTCTAGAATTGCAGCAAATGTATAGACATTGCCCGTATTGAAGCACAGCACAGGTTCTACAGCAGCAAATTGCACAGCAAAAAGAGAAGCTCCTTTGATACCAAACTCCATATCACGGGTTAGAGGCTTTCGTGTGAATTCAGAGTCTTGCCTTGCTGGCTGGCATCTTGCTTCGCTGCTGCAACACTCGACTCCGGAGGTGCTCAATTTTACGCGCTGTTGCCGTCACCGACGAAAGACCCTAAAGAGTCATGGTTGTCTTGCGGATGCGTGCATAGCGAACTTCACTGGCATTCATCACATCAGCATCTACCCACACACGGCCGGAGTCGACATAGTGCACCCTGTCAGGGAGGCCCGTGTCTACGCGCACTTCACCGTTGCCGATAGCATCGGTAGGGCCATAATTCACAGAGCGTCCACTATCCTGAAGAGCACTCTCGCACATTCCTCCATTAACATCTTCAGACAATGGGCAGCCAGCGTCCACGTCGCGGACGCACGAGGAACTTTTCAGTTATGACGGCGTTATCAAACAGTGCCAGCGCTTGCTCCCGCGACACAGTAGAAGCAGCATTTGGCTTTCTGCCTTTCTTCCCTGAACGGTGAAAATGATGCTGCAATTGGAACTTTCTCACACCGCCAGGCATAGCGAGACGCACAAGCACGTTGGGGATACGAGTCATAACTCCGTCGCAAGGGCGATACCCTTTTAAAATAACAGCAGACACTGCCAGCGAGTTTTCCTGGCCAATCGGGAAGCGCCATTTTGGTTGCGTGCATCAAGCAACCAATAGAATCACGTGCTGCGCGTGATTTTGACTACACTTTATTTGCTTTTGCGAGGGACACATAGTTGTCTACTGAAAAAAAAAAAAAAAAATCTAGAATCTAGAAACGCAACCTTTCTAACAAGACCAAAATGATGCTGGTGGAGCGCGTAGTGCGCGTGCTCTTGGTGGCTGAAGTACAGCTAGCTTACAGTTAGATTTAAAGGTCCGCTTGCACAAAGTTGCTCTCTTTATAGGTTATAACTTCAGAATTAAGTAAAATTTCGAAGCAAAACTTTGGTGATGAGTGCGGAAGGGCATCGGGAACGCAAAAATGATGAGAAAAAAAATGCGATTTTTGGGCCGATTTTAGACTTCTAAGTGCCACGTCCCCCCTTAAACTGAACGTTGACCTGCACATAAGTGATGAAAATTATGACTGGTGCTTGAAGTGGCATGAAGTAAAGCACCTTCGTTCACTTTCCTTGCGGGCCAGGCGACAACTTCGGGTGCGTCATGACTGCTGGGGTACGGGGCCTCGGTTAATTTTGCGACTTAACAGCGTTTCCGGGCACCATTTCGGACAGTGAGCGACTTATCGGTGCAGATGATGACATAGCTGGTTCTGACTGCATCGATGGTGACATCATGGCTGCCGTGTCTGGTGCCGTAGAAGTGTACCCGTGCAATAAATACTCTTCCGTGCCAAACAACCTTTTGCCACGCTACAAAGCTTGCATTAGTGTTCTGGGTCAATCAACGCTGTTGAGGCCGAAGGAGCTGAATTCGCTTATTTGAAAAGCTTCAGTGATATTGAGGATGCCTCAAACTTGATGGCACACAAGAAGCAAGACAAGTTGGCGTACTGCTTTTCTGCGAAATAAAGTGCGGTAACTTGCAGTTCACATCTTGTTCATTATACTGCGAGCGAATCATTATGTTAGCCCTTTTAAAGATTTCAGAGGCCTGAAACCCTTTAATTTAGGCCTTAAATATGCATATCTTGCATTTCGGATTATCGCTATATCAAATTTTTTCACGATCCTTTTTGAGTTCTGATATATCTGGGATCAACTGTGCTTAGAACAGGGGTTGGCACCCTGTGGCCCTCAGGCTGCATGAAGCTCGTGGGGCAGTACAGTCAAACATTGTTATTGCGTACCCGCTTTAAGCGTACTAATGGTTAAAATGTAGTTGCGACAGATCCCCGACCAAGTCTCATAGAGACTAATGCATTGGCTGACCGCTTAAGCAGTAATGTTTGGCCTATGCCTACCGGTTAGTGCATACTAACTGCGTACAGCGATAACATTTTGTGCGCTAAATTCTACTGCTTCGCTGATTGTTGCAGACAGCACAATGTGCCGTGAATGGTTTTCCATAATGTATATAAGTGCAGAGATCATCCGATAAAATATTTCAACTTCCGCACGATTGCAGCGATGACATTGCAAGTAACCATCAGGGAAAAAACGAAGGCGAGGTGGCGATAGACAAACATTTCAGAGAAACACGTCAGTAGCACTTAACGCCGGCGAAAAGCCTCATCACAGTAAGCATCCCCGGTTATCTGCTCAGCTACGCGTGTGGCGTAGCGTCACTTTAGGCCTACTGCACACTTTTGGTAGGAGACTACCTGAACGCGCTGGGCCACCGATCGCTGCCGCTTCGTTTTGCGGGACAGTGTTCAAGCGTGCACCACTTTACAGAAACGCAAGCAGCTCGCTGTCCCGGAGTTTAGCATTGCTGATCACGAGCACTGAGAAACCTTGCTGTATTATGCCAACACGCGCACCACACAGCAAGTGTAGCACTGTTACCATGCTGCACGCTTTCATTTAGCGACAGCCCATATGCACCTCCGTCAATTGCAAGGACTGCTAGAGCACCGCGGTTAGCACACTGCTTGCTGAAAGCTCTCCGTTGCCGCTTTAACCCAGCAGGCTACTCGCCGAATCTGTGCATGACCTGTAGCGAAGAGAGTGTACTCAACAGCAAGTGGATCAGCAGTCGTGGCGTGCACAGAGTGAGCGAAGCGCTGCACGCAACTAGCCACGCAGTAAAAGGTTCGGTTTTCTGCGACTGTACCACATTAAAAAAAAAAAAAAAAACAGACTGCATCAGTTTTCACTTGGAAGCAGACCACGGAACAGCTGTATCACGGACAGCCGATTGTGTCCGTTCTGTCACTGTACCATGCAGCATATCCCAGATCCCGCGGCAGTTTCGAAATGCTCATCAGCGTCACCACCGCGTGCTATCGGATGGTTGTGCGAGTCAGAAACTTTTCAGTACTTTAGCTAAAGGAAAGAAATGGCTTTGCAGTGGGCATTTCAGGCAATATTTCTAGTGGCACCGAGTTTAATTTTTTGCTGGTGGCAACGGCGCGTGCCAGAAGGTACAAATTTGTAGCTGGTGGTTAATGCTTAGTATGTTTAGTGCGTAGCTGCGCCGTCGTCCCCCGCAGGAAGGTATTAACGGATTTTCAATGCATTATGCAGCCCCCGCCCCAGTGTCAGAACCTATCTCCTCCCCTAGTCGTCTCCCAACTGAAGGCCAGCGTGACATTTTTTAACTGAAATGGAGGTTTGCACTAGTAGTCTGTGTGTGTGTAAATTTTAACCTTGTTACGTGTGTGCAAAAAATAAGCATTATTTATATTTCCATTTTGCAGAGTACAGCCAATATGCCAGCTTTTTACAGTGAAAGCTGTTACAGTCGAATCTAGATAATTCGAACTCGAAGAGGCCCGAAAATTTGTTCAAATGAAAAGAAGTTCGAATTAATGAAAGCTAAATAAACGGAGGGCTTTCCATGCAGTGGTGCATGTGCATTGAGCTAACACACGAGGGGAAGTTTCAGAAGACTTACATTTATTCACAAATCACAGGACATCCGTTATTAATTGAAGTAATCGGTGATGCACATCTGCACATGTTTGCCTTGCAGCGAGTCAATTTTGCACGCAGCTTTTCTACTTTGGCTTCAGCATTCTCCTGGCAAGAGAAGTTGCGCGCGGAAATGACTAGTGCAGACGCTTTCTTAAGAGCCACTGGGCAATGTACTTTAGCGATACAAATGAGCGGTAGCTGAAGCACCCCTGCCTCGCTACTTCCAGCACGAAAAATAAAATAAATAAAAAACAATCTCGTGATCAGCTGAAATATGTGCTTGTGGAAAAACAAGATGTGCTTCACTGCAATACACCAGTCACGTGCGGGCAGCATGTTGCATGCTTCTCACATAAGCGTGTCGCGATTTATTCATTCTTTTTGGGAATTTAAAGAAATAGTAAAGGTCAGTCTAGAGAAATTCGCGATGTATGCGAACCTCCGAGGGCCAGTTGCTCTAGCAATTCGCGCACTTGCACTGCTGGCGGAGTTCTTGCCTACAACACCTACTTCGAAAACTCGGTCTGAAAGGTTCAGTGATGTTTTTCAGCCGAAACACCGCCAATTTCTTCACACTGTCTGTTTATAAATTCTCTATATTTTGCCAAACATAATGGGCAAATGGTCACAGTAGCGACATGCTCCCCGCATGGCGCTACTGTGTTGCAGCAGCGACATGCTTTTTGCAGGCATGCATTTTAGTTGATCACTTTTTCTTATTTCAGTAACAGGGGTTAGGCTCGAAATTCTCCATTGTTTGCGACAAAATTGTGACCAGGTATTGCTCGAAAACATCCTTAAGGCCACGAACTAGCCGGCTCAGCAAACGGCAAGCCCCGATTTATTTGAATGATTTCAAGATCCTTGCATCCCACTTTTTGTATGCTCTGTTAATTGGAAAATTCATTCGAAATTCAAAGATTTCTCACGGTCCCACTGACTTCCAATTAACAAGGTTTTACTGTAACTGCATGGCACGCATCTCCCTCTATATTTTTCTCTTTGCACGTTTTCCAGTTTGCAAAGAAGCTTCTCACAGCATCGGTGATGTTCTTGGTCCTATTATTATTATTATTATTATTATTATTATTATTATTATTATTATTATTATTATTATTATTATTATTATTATCACAGTCAAAGTGCAATTCACAATGCTAGCAAAATTGCCTTTTTCTTCAGTATTCGTGTGAACTTGCTTTGCTCAATTCGTTATGGCATGGTGCTTGCACTTTAATGTTCAAAGCAAACCTTAAATGTAATTGTGGTACGTCGTCCTTGCTGTTTTCTCCATGGCACGCATCTCCCTCTATATTTTTCTCTTTGCACGTTTTCCGGTTTGCAAAGAAGCTTCTCACAGCATCGGTGATGTTCTTGGTCCTATTATTATTATTGTTATTATTATTATTATTATTAATATTGTTATTATCACAGTCAAAGTGCAATTCACAATGCTAGCAAAATTGCCTTTTTCTTCAGTATTCGTGTGAAATTTCTTTGCTCAATTCGTTATGGCATGGTGCTTGCACTTTAAGACAACGACAACAACGACTGTGTAGCGGAGCCTCTTCGCTACGCAGCCGCAGCATGGCCAGCACGTGACGAGAAAGGAGGAGGTGTCTAAACGTGGAGAGAAGCAGATCGGTATTTGAGAGAAAACCAACACTCCATGGCAGCTTTTTTTTTTTTTTACTCTCCCCACGAGTCTTTGAAAGGAGAAGGGTTACATGGCAGGGACGGGAAAGGGGGAAGCATGGCACAGGCGCATGAGCGACCCCCCTCAAGGCGCAGAGCCGTGCTGGGGCAAGGGCTGCAGGGCTGCAGAAGATAGTGCCTTTTTCCTTTCCTTCAACCACACATTCATTCAACCCAGCGACAGCCTTTTTTTTTTTTTCCTCTCTCTATTTTCGGGCGCGGCATTGGAAGGAGAAGGGTCTTTTGTGCCACTGCATGAACAATTGGCACAAAATTCCTTGCAAGTGTTTAGCGGATACCACGCTTCTCAGAAGAATTATGAAAGATAGTATAGGGAATGCTGGCCTACTACCTAAAAGTTTATTATTAATGCCCTAGTGGGTATGAAGCAAGTGTGCTTGCAGTAGTTACTCAATGAGTGTTAAGAAAAGGCTCTGAAAGGCCGCTATTCGAGTTTTGGCTGCGACTGTTCTGCACATTCCTTGCAGGCCCGGCGTTTTTTTCTCTTTGCATCATTATGTCTGCTTATCGAGCAACAAAATTATGTACATTATGACTGCTTGGATGTCAGCATGCTGCCTTATTTCTGTTTTACAGCCTCGACGCCACTGCGAAACTGTTTCAATAAGCGAGACACTGCAGCGCACAAAGAGCCCGTTCGCGGGAACACCATACGAACAGATCGATGCAAGAAGCGATCGTGAGAAAACGGAAAGGGCACTCACCCAAGGTCTTCTACGCGCGTCGGCATACCCGTGCCGTCGTGAGTGGGGAAGGCCAGGTTGTGCAGCTGTCGGGCCTTGTCGTCTGGGCTCAGGGAGTTGTCCCCGAGGATGTGCTGCTTCTGCGCCGACAGCTCGCGCAGCTGCTGAAGGAAACGAGCCTGGTGCGGGTTGACCTAAACGATCGACAGAGAGCGAAGTCAGCATCACAGCCACATGCGCTCGCAGACAGGAGCTCCGTCTACGGCAACGAAGGAGTAGCTCCGAAGGAAAGACTTGCCTCCATGAAGTCCTCGTGGGTGAGGATGCCACTGAACCAGGCATGTTGCTGCTGCTGCTGTTGTTGATGCTGCTGCTGTTGAGACGGCCTTCGTGCAGGCGCCACTGATTCAGCCATGCAGCCACCGCCCTGTTCCTCTCGGGTCATCAGCGAGTTCATCTGATTGATGGACTGCTCCCTACAAGATGGAGAAAACAGCAAGGACGACGTACCACAATTACATTTCAGGTTTGCTTTGAACATTAAGGGGGGACACGGCTTTGGGATCGCGAAAAATGGCAAAAAAATAGATTTTTTGAAACTCAAGTTTTCAGTTTCTGGAACCCTTTTTCTATCTGGTATAAAAATATCTGCACTGAAAACCGCGCAGAAGTGCCTCGGAAAATTCGTTTCACCCACCTAGGTAGTGAAACTTTTTTTTGAAATGGCGAGAAAACAGCGATTTTCAAAAAATTATAGCTTCGCGATGCTTGGGCCGGGAGCCGGTTCTTGGGCTCATCGGAAAGAGCATTTCTCAGTGTTTAACTCTCCCGCCTCAGCTGGCTCCTCCCTTTAAGGGGAGACCCTGGTGTTCTAAAGAAAGTTGTTTATCATATTCAAATGAAATTTTCAGGCAATGTATCTTTTAACCTGCTGTGAAGATATATGCAATCCATTTTCTATTATCTCAAGTAGTTTTAGAGATATTGAAGAAATAATGAATAGTTGGATTGCCCAATTATTCTGCAATTTAACCACTGAATATCCTAGAACACTTCATATGCACATAGTCTAGAATAATCAAGGATCACAACTATACTATCACTGTAATTTTAGCTCTATATTTATAAAAGTTATTGCCATATGTAATGTAATGATTGGAAACATGAGAATTTTCACGAGATTTATCAGCACATGAAAAATGTTCTCTTGACTAAATATAAATTTTAGTAGTCTTATTGTGTATAGTAACTCGTAATCTGTCAATTGCAACAAGAATCGTTGAAATCTGATCACTATATCATCAGATACTGTGGGCAACAGTATAGCACATAAGCAAAAAACTGATTTTGAGAAAATGCAAAAAGAAGTTTGAAGACTTGATATAGGTTTAATTCTTGCCAAAAAAGCAACAGATGGGAGTCCTTTTTGCTCTAGAAGCCACCAGGCTCATAATCACCATCACTTTTTTTCACACGCCTCTTCTTCATGGCATTCTTGAAGTCTTCTGCTCTGGTATGCTTTTTGTCACATGCCGCTAGCCGCTGCTGGTCCTTTTCCAGACATCTTTCAACATCTGTGTTGCCTTGGTTCAAATGCAGCTCTTTCAAAATGGCCTCAGAAGCACGTTTCTTTCCAAAATTGAACCGAGCAACCGCTTCCGCAAAAGCAGTTTCGACTGTGAAGAGCGAGGCGTGCTTGGTTTTTGGTACAATCGACCAGATCACTGAATAGGAGGCTCTCATTCGAGTTTTGAGTTTTGCCTCTTTGGCAGCAGCTCCAACAGCTTTCGATCTGAGAGGCGAGTGTACACTGGAAGGAGCGCTTCTGCAACATATTCCGGGAGGTCGTACTGATGCTTAGGAGGAGCCTGCTGCCTTGCCACTGCCTTGTTGTGGGCACAGCCACTGCCTTGTTGTGGGCACACCATGAGTCTTCTCCCTTTGGGCTTTGCATGTTGTGGCTTTGCATCAGTAAAGTCACATGATAGTAAGTGGCAAGGACAGCATTCTCCATCTCATCGATGTTTCCCTGGTGTGCCTTGAGTGCCCAACCATAATAATTTGTAAGCTTCGTTACAAGCTCAGCGGTGAGCTTTCCTTTGCCACCGAGGCTTGGCCGACCTTCCCCCTTGCTCTTCTGCAGGAGGTGTCTCAGTGCAGCACCCATCCTTTTATGTATATGATTTATGCAATCCTCCTTTTCGATAGCCACGAAGCCATACACTTGCTCCTCCTGAAGGCTGTTGAAAGCGCGGCTATCGCCATCGCACAACATCGTTGTGTAGCGGAATCCATGCTTTTTGAAGGATCGGCGAAACAGAATTTTGGCAGCCTCCACCTCCATCTGGCCAGGCTTGCTCGAAGAGTTTTTTTGGCACTTGTGCCGAGCTCGCCACTCACTGTATCGAGGGTCGTCGTCTTGGGGCCAATCTCGCAACCCAAACAGAAGTTCGAAAGAACTTTGAAGTCGAACACATAGCCCGAAAACAGTTCTATTACAGTTCCCACACAAATGTGTGACAAGTGGCCACGAGTTAGCCAAGTCCCGTCGAAGGAAACTGCGATATTGCCGGGGTTCCCGAAATTAAGTTCAGAATAGATGGCCTTCACAGCTGTTGCGCACTCGCTCATAATACCCGCGGATGCGTTCATCGCGGCAGGGTTCATCTTGGTTTTTACGTAGTCTTGGTACGTTTTGTTGTGCATTCCACGACGAGACACATTCAGGGCCCAAAAAATGTCGTTTAGCAAGGTCTGCCCATTGCCCGTGCTCATAACTGCACGAGCCGCAAGCACATTTACTTCGAAAGGGTTGCAGGTCGCATTCCCCCCTGCTCTCGGCGAGCTCCATCCGGCGCTGACATCTCCGCAGACGGCACAGTTCACCACTATTCTAACTGCCAATCCGTACTCACAATCGCCCCGTGAAACGTTCAATGGGCCAGAGCAGAATTCGCATTTCGCGCACCGAAGCAGTTGGTTCAGCAGCGGTAGGCTTAGCAGCGTGAACTGGGTGCCGGACCCCGCCGCTTCCGGGGAATCTCCGATAAGCGACTGCTTTCGGCGGGTAGCTGATAACGAAGACAGCTTCTGTCGTTGCTCTTCCGCGCGATGCTCAATTGGCACTTTTTCCGCTTCTGTCGCGAAATGCGTATTGCGCGCGTTGTCCTCGTGTCGTCGGCCACAGACATCGCTTAAGCGGTTGCAGCTTCGGTGGATATCGTACACTCGCTAGCGCATGTCGCGGAGCTCGTCGCCAGTCGATTCACTCGACGCTGCTTCAGGTATCCGAGACCGACGCTTGCGTTTTTTGCCGTAGGCATGAGCTGTCGCGAATTTGCGTCGCCCGCCAGCCATCGTCGCGTCCGAACAATTTGTGACAAGGAGTCGCGCATTGTTGCACACAGTCGGGCAGACGAAATTTCGGTCGTCCAATCGGAGAGCAGGATTCGCCCACGTGGTATAAACGTGCCAATGCCGTGCGAGTATTCCCTCCTTTTCGCTGGCGTGTAGCTCCATGGTCGCCAGACTTAGGAGTTGTTTTCTCGCTAAAACCGGATTGCTGAAGAATTTAGCTTTCAAACGATTCCAAAATGGCCGTGCTGCGGCTAACGGTTACCGCAGACGACGGCATTGAAATTGCCCGTTTTGGGGGGGCGTTTTCGAGTAAAAGTGATCATTAAGATCTCTTTAGAATGCAATAACAAAATAAATACTAATCGGAACGCGTTAATATTCCAGCAATAGATTCTTTTGGACGTCGAGATTTCGAAAAAAAAATATTTTAAAAAATTCATTTTTTGGCAATTTTTTGCTCTAAAAGACCCGTGTCTCCCCTTAATCGTCTATTTTAATAATTTTTAACCCACATGAAAAAATGATCATAATAGAGTTCTTCGTGACCAATTATAGGGTCTAAAATGATTTCAAGGTGCCCACCCAAGAAGACCAGGTCAAGATCACGATGGCATTATGTGGCGTACCATAGCGTGGCACTCCCTAGAAATATCAACCACCCAGAGTTTGTAGCGTAGACCTAAATAACAGTAACAGTAAACATGCATCTTTTCAAACGCACCTAGTGTGCCAGTCATAAAAAAACGAATTTGCCACAGCCTTTCATTAACCCGAACCTTGAAAAAGTGATGTCATTCAACTACTCACCTAGCAGTGGCCGTCTGGCGTCCCGCAGCCACCGACGCACTTGCAATGTGGCCGGCACTGGGCAGGCCGCCGTGGTGCGACGGGAATCCCGTGGCCGACTGGGAGAGGGGCGAGCTGGATGGCCCCTGGCAGAGCAGGCGCAGGAAAGGGCGAGACAGGGGCAGGTCGACCAGGCGGCCGTCCTGCAGGGCCTTGGCCAGGAAGATGCCCAAAAAGTGGAAAGAGGCGCACACTCGGCCCGTGCAGGAGCTGCCCTGGGGCAGGGGCGCCGGGAACAGGCCGTACGCCGTGTGGATGTAGTAGCCCGGTGGCTTGGAGCTCTCGCCGCCCAGCTCAGTGGTGGTGCGCGAGTCGGAGGATGCCGCCATGGGCTAAGGGGAGAAAGTGCACGTCCAGTGTTAATTCCCTTCAACTTGCTTTGCAAAGTCCGAGTAAATGGAAATCTCTGATGTTAGGGCAACGGGTAAGAATTACTAGATTTATGCAAATTCTCAATGGGAGAAAAATTAAGCAGCGCTGTGAGCGAAGCAGACGTCTTTTCGAGTCATACGTTCTATTAGGCACTCAAACCTCGATATAACGAATTTGGATACCAATAACAAATTATTGGTTGCAATGAAGTGAAAATTAGCTTCATAGATACAGTGTTACGAACATATGTGTAACAAATTTTTGAATATAACGAAGCATTTCCATGGCAGCTGTAACTGTTATAATGATGTGCGAGTTCCACCGGTCCAGCCACAATTTTATAGTCAGCACCAATCAATCATTCAATGATTCTATGCGACGCACCTTTTTGTCGTTGGTCGTGGGTATGTCCTCACACAGCCACATGCCCAGGTCCCGTCGTTGGAGCTCCTCAGCCACCAGGGCGTAGAACTCCAGGGTGGGGCCCAAGCCTGTGCCTTCTTCATTTTGAAACTCAACCTGCAGAAAGAAGTATCCATCTGCTCAGTAACCTTTGCACTCTTGAGTAATGCAGCAGGGATATGCAAATCACTGGCACGTAACAGTAGAACTTCCAACAAGACCGAAGTTTGCGGCAAAAAAACGAGGCTTGAAGTGACAAAAATTACACAAAAACGCAGAAGTTCACCAATTTTCTTTTCTCATCATTTTGGGGTGTAGCACTGTCACACTACAGCACAGAAAAGCAACAGACTACTTCTGACCATACAGTGACAGTAATCAATCGCCTTCTGATGCATACGATAGAGTGGCATACACCAGGCTAGTGCATCTTACAAACACATTGCAGTGTAGCTCTAACAATCAGGTTATTTACAGCACATGCTGCAAGCTATAAGAGGGTGCAGAAATATGGGTTGCTTTGGCATACACAATAACTGCAATGTGTAAGCAATTCTGAACATTCTCAACTTTGACTTCAGAAAACTGGTGGGCTCCGCAGAAAGCTTGCTGAACCAAGCAGTGCAATCAAGATGTTCAAAGTAAATTCTGGCGCTTCACAAACAAAAACCATGATACAATTACAAGACACACCATACTGGAGGAGTCTGAAGTTTTTGACCAGCAGAAGTTCTGCCCCTTAATCTTTTGCCAACAGCAAACCGCTGCCACTGTGGCCAAGAATAGAATCCGCTGCTCTCGGTGACGCAATGCGTAACCGGCAAACCACCACACCTTAATCAAAAGCATGATTTGCGTTACTGAAAACAATAGCAACCAAAAGGCGACAATGGGTGACCTACCTCAAGCACGGTCTTGCGTGGAGCGTGCAGGCGCATCACTTGCATGGCCCAGTCAAGCAGTTTGTCTCCGCGGGGCACTTTTACCCGCTCATGCTTCAGGCGACCCACGCGAAACTCATGGGGGTCCTCTCGACGTGGAGAGGGTCCACGGTGGCGCTCCGCGCTGGCATCCCGCTGGTTTTGAAGCCACACTATCGACCTGCGCCAAACAGCAACCGCCACACAGGCAGCAGGGCATTAAGAGAGAGTGCACAAGATTGCAGGAATTTATATTTTGTCCGGAATAAAACAACAATCTGTGCTAGTTTCTAGACACACAAATGTGCGATGGCAAAGACAATTGCCATCATATTGTCACAGGGGTGAGAGTAGGCAGAGGGTAGAAATATATTTACAGATTGTACACGGAGTACACAGTGTCCTTGAACCAAGATGGTGGAGTGGCAAGAACAACACGAGCTTTTGTTCAATCGTCATTTTCGTCGCCTTTATGGTGCATACGTTAATGTCAATGATGACTTGTATCAATATATTCAACTTCTTAGGCGCAAGAAAGAGATCACCAGCAGGGCTTGGCGCTTGCGCTTGCCCGTTTTCAGGCTGTACTTGAACCACATTTCTGCCAGGTCCAGCAAAAGCAATCAAGTACATTTAGAGTATCGGTACTTGTCCAAGCGTACCGATATAAACTACGCAAAGCTTACCGTGATGCACCAAACGCTGTGCAAGAGAAGTACAGCTGGCGTGTCTCAAAAGGAAACAGCATAGGACAGTTGTAGGTCAAGTGCTCGCACCAGTCTGGCTGGGCACCAGATGACAGCACCAGGGGATCCTGCAAGGTCACTGAGGCTACTGTTAATTACCTGTCACAGAGCTGCACATGTACTGACATGTGTGCATGTGCACATCTGCCTATACACATACGACCAATCATTGTACAAATGTCATTATGAAGCCTTAGCGTTTGCCGCGTGGTGGTGCTGTGGCACCACCTTGCAAGAGTCTGTCAAATGATAGCAGTTACCTCCAGAAATTTTGATACTCAATTGTATGCATTTTTTTTTTTTCATTTTTCGTTCCGTTGATTTCAAGCATGTGTCAATTTAAACCAGCGTACAAGAACAGCCATGCAAGTTAAAAATGTCGTTTTGGTGTCTGTCATTAACGTGGGTACACAGATAAGGATGTACTTTTAATCTAAAAGAACCAACCAGCCCCACTTATAGCACCAATTTGAGTTTCAATCAGACACATGGTAAAGAACAAGGCTTTAGAAAAGACGATACCAAACAGTGAACGCATCAAAAGTTGGGTGACAAAAAACACACTAGTAGCCGTAAAGGACGCACCTGAATCTGCTGCACCAGCTTGTTGGTGATCTTCTTACTGAGGAAATCTTCCATGGTCACCGTGCTCAGGATGTCTTCAATGCCTGCTTGCAAGAGATAGAAAAAGAGAAGAGGACCAAAAACCCTGTTGTCATGACGACGGTTTTGGCCAGCGGTCTCTATCATGACATACAACCACCGCTTGTTAACAATCACACTAGCAATGACTGCCCAAGTTTTCATGTCTACCGATTGGTAGACTCCATTTAATCGAAACCTCAAGGGACCAAAAAAAAAAAAAAAATCTGCTTCCTTTAAGAGGAGTTTGGTTTACTGAGAGATAAACAAGGGTACAATATTCAAGTATGAAACCAAACATATTAGTGGGAGTTGTTCCATTTAAGCAGTAATTTCATTTATGAGAGTTTCGTTTAATGAGAGTCTACAGTAATTCAAAGGACAATGAACAGAAGTACTGTGCAGTTTAGCTCTTAGCATTCACAATAGAATTATTACCAAATTAAATGCATATTTCCGAAAAAGCACAGACAACGGAAGGTTGAAAGAGTGTCACTCCTAGTGGAAAACTGAAGGACACACTACAGCACTGCTTCCGATTTACTTTGGTCTATGTTTTCTTTTAGCTGTTTTTAAGATATCCCGTAACTCCTATTGACTAGCCCATTTTTTTACTCCTCTACAGTAAATTAAGTGCGCGCAAGTGACCATCTTATGACTCACCGATGGATCCGTGGTTGGCACGGCTGCGGTGTGTGCTGAGCAGGCGGAGCAGCTGGAGCACGTCGTCAACAGTGCAGCTTCCGTCTTCCAGGGCAGAACCCGTGCCAGGGCAGTAAACGGAAAGGACGCTTTCGCGCGAACTGCTCTTGCAGCTCGACGCGGGGCGCACCACCGGCACTGGCCGTGGAAGCTCCTGAAAAGCGCACAGATATCGAGCTCAGCGATGGAAGCGGAAATGTTGTAGGCCCGTGTGCTCAGATTTGGGTGCACGTTAAAGAACCCCAGCTGGTTGAAATCTCCGGAGCCCTCCACTACGGCGTCTCTCATAATCATATGGTGGTTTTGGGACGTTAAACCCCACATATCAATCAATATCGAGCTCAGGTCACACTGAACTGGGTGAAATAATCGGGAAATTTCGTCCCCCAGAGCAAGCAGGCAAGGCACATGACCACACATCCTGCTTCTTTGAGCAACTTGTCTAACATCATCGCACGTCACGCCCGGCTGACGATACAACTCTTGGTGTGGCCTATATATTTAGGGCTACAAATCATCTATATGGAGCACCCCAGTATGAAGAGGCTCTTAAATTTTTTCACCTCAGCACACAACAAAATGCATGAAGGGTGAACGAAGAAAACCATACAAAGCTGGAGTACAGTCGAACCCTGCTACAACGAAACTGACGGAGCGCAGAAAAAATTTCGTTAGCGCGAAAACTTCATTGTAGAGAAATCGAAAAAATATAGCTGATTTAAGCTAGCCAAAAAAAGGAACGTTTATTCTGAAAATTAAAGAGGTGTCCGCTGTTTCCTATTCTTTCCCAGCAGCATCACGACGCAATTGTCACCTATGCATCACGAGGCCATGGTGAAAAGCACACTGAAACAAGGCCTATAACCGCTTTTGTGAACGAACCAAACAGCTGCATTAATACGTTAACACCAGCAGCTATCTGTTGTCGAAGTGTATCTAACAACACCGAGATGGAGGCAGGGTATCGTGGAGCCAATGCCAGCTAAAAAAATTATGCCTGGAACGTGAGCCGCCAACGCACTGCCCTACCCTTGTATTTTACCCTCTTCCTTCGGTATGAAGGCGAGAGTCTCCGACGGCCGCCCCCTGTGAACACAGCAATGCTCTCACAGTTGCCTTCGAGCAGCCGTGATGCCACGTGACAGATCGATAGGGTTATGTCACGTGACTGAGCGGGTACGGAGGCAAGCGGTCTCACACGACGGCCGGTGGCAACACAAGGCAGGAAGCATGGCCTCCGAGATAGCGTGCTGGCAGGAGGCTCCCAATTGAAAAGAGCGGCCTTCCAGGCATAGTTTTTCTAGGAGGCGTTGGTGGAGCTAATTTTTTGGTAATGCGGATGAGAAGCTGCTCTGATTAGTTACCACAATGGCCAAGGGCGAACGAAATTATACGCAATGGCATTGAAAAAGGCATTGTTTTGCACAGCTGCGCGAAAGAAAACCACGAAATGAGCGACTGAGCTTCAGCTTCAGATCGTCTGCGGCTCAAAAGCAAGCCAGCAACAAAAGCAGAGCAGTCTCATTGCCATCGTTATCGAGCGATGGCGGCGCCAATGCTTGCTGAACTATAGCAGTTTTTGGTAGTGTGATAGCGTGTTTTAGACTTCGTCGACGTATTTTTAAGTTGTGAAAATGCATCAAAATGTTAAAGACTATGCTTACTGTATAGCAATAAATATCTGAGCCTAGAATTGCGTGGAAAAATTTGGTTGAAGAGGGATAGCAGAAAAAAAAGTGTTCGTTGTGGTGACAATATTTACGCAATGACTTCTATGTACTGCCAACAGGGAACAGTAAATTTTTCGTTGTAGCAGAAACTTCGTTGAAGCGGGGTTCGTTGTTACGGAGTTCGAATGTACTGGCAGAGTTGGAACATTTTCATAATGAAATCTGCAAAAATGTGGACGCATCTTCCATAGTTGAAATTCAAGATCATTATGTTCTCAACCTATCATTCTAGCTTCCTATCAATCACTGCCATGTACCTAAAAAATGAATCAGCCAGTCACTGTGCTATAGTAATACACAAACAATAAAAAAAAGAAAGAGAAAAGAGGGAGGGGGAGAATGAAAGGAAGAAGTGTGTTTAAAAAACATTATTGCCTTTAAAATATTGTAAAACCTCACACAGAGTGTGACCACGACTCTTCCCACATCTTTTTAGCTCGTTACCCAATACGTTCACTCACAATACCACATCATACAAGACTGCCCCCGTGCAACTTGGGTAAATAAGGAGCTCAAACTTGACAATACTAGATTGGAATTACCGGTGAAGTATAAAGTAAACTGAAAACCAAACACTCGCTCACCTCCTTTGATGATGGTGACTCTTCTTTCGCTGCCTTGTAGACAATTCTAAAAGAAAAGAAGAAACGATGCTTTTTCTGAAGGCACAATGAAATTATGACGAGACCACTTACAACTTTTCCGCAATGTGAGCCCAGAAATGGGGTAAGTAAAAAGTAATTACAGTCAGATTGTCTTCGGTTGGTAATCACAGAAAGTGCCACAACCTGCACTGGTGTTGGTAAGGAGTGCTGGAGAAAAATTTACAACTAACTTCTCTAAAAGAACAGTTTTCATGTAACTGCCACGGGAACGCAGCTTTCTCGGAGACAACTAGCGTGAATGTTTGCTTCCGCAGTAGCATCTAAAATGACTGGAAACATAGGGCCTTGCGGGATTTACAACAGCCCAGTATTGGGACCACTCACATATACATGGGCTCCCAGATGCGGCGAATCTTGTCCTGCTTAGAGCCCATCTCTGACGCCTGCACCAAGTGTTGCACTGCACGGAAGATGGTCCACTCGGGGTCCACCAAGTCCACCTCCAGGTCTGAAACCTGACGGCAATAATTCGACCCAGTGAGGTGCAGCACATTTTGAGGCGTAGCAGGCGTGTTAGAACAAGCACATGTAAGCACTTGGTGAGAAAGACAGCGATCAATGCTAAAGAGCGTGCCATAACTGCAAAACTTGCTCCCCCACAGCAATGTACAATAGTAGTTTTGCATTCTGCTGCATTGCAATTGTTGCGCTTGCTTTTTGTAGCCCATTTCAATTCAGTACAAAATAATGATTGCTGGTAACATATTTTTTCCCTTGAATGAACACGAGCTATCGTGTTCATCTTGGTCTCGTTTGAAAGGGTCATTCTTCATCTTCAATTTCTCGCCACCGCTGGCTCGTCTTGCTCCTTGGTTTTTTAGCAAAAAGGGGTCATCGAGAAGCACTAGCGGACGATTCAATTGGCTGCTTGAGGCATGTGACAAAACCTAGGCATACGATTGGCCAAGGGGCGATTTCGGCGTCTGCTTCACCATCGTGACGTGCACAAACATGCGCCAATTTGTCATGGTGCTACTGACTGCCTGCTGCAGTAAAGAGGTTCCGTGCTACGGTAATTTCTGAAGCGGGTGTGGCGGTCGCTCGTTCGCTGTGAACTTCAGAAAGAGCCCCGCTACGGCTCAGGAGAACGATGATAATGAACTCGACGCGGTCAACGGCAGTCGCCGAGTCACCAGTATAGGCATAGCTCACGTACGAGCCAGTTGGTTGCCGACAACGTTACTGAGAAAGGCTGTGTTTTGCAGCCTCATCAGTTAGAGGACGGCAAGTAAAAAGCAGAAGTGAAGCTACAAGAGCTATCAATCTTTGTAGTGATGGAACGAAAGCGCAGTCTTATCGCTAAACACGCCGATGCCGCGGTTCTCTTGCCTGATGAAAGGACCCTGAACTGCGCGACGGGTCGTCAGAGTGGAGTACGCCACGCGTCGACGAACAACAGAGAGTCAATTCGTTCGCGGTGAATAAGCTGGCCGCCCCCACAAAAGAGGCTACTGGCAACAGGTAGACTGCTTTTAACGACGTGTTCGCAACGTTGTTGCGATCTCCGCTCGAAAATGCGGCAGTCTTACGTGAAAAGAAACTAACACTCCGGCACTCGTGTAGATTCAAATTGATGAGTGAGGGGAGCAACTTTGGTTCGCGACATTTACAGGTAACTCATTCTGGACAAGCCGGAAAACATCGCCGTGTTATTCGACGTATCGCGGATGACGCACGCACATTTGTCGCACATCGCCGTCAGTACAGCCACCGAACTAATAAGCGGCCTTGCGGCAGACGAGCCCACAGCGACAACTTGCAACAGGACTAGAAGAAATGACACGCTTGTGCAAACAATCAGTCCTATTACATTCCCGGTGCACATTAACTGACTAAAAGTACGTGTGCCATGATATCTTTCCCTTGGAACGGCGAAATAAAGTTTTAACAGCATTATTCTCGAAGCACAGATTTTGACCACTTTATTTTGCTTGTTCGGTAAAAGTGGACCTAGGACTGCTAGAGCTGTAGTTTGTTTTTGCACAATGTAGCTAAATGTGCACAAATAACAATGCTGGGAGCCTATTTTTAATGGGCGGCTTCATTTTTTTATTTTAATATAAACATTTCTGTATTTGGTTACATGCAATGAACTTTACTGTGCTGTAGTTCGAGAAGTACTCATTCAATTTTCGATCAGCTTGCAGTGTTGCACTCCTTAGGCTTTCTAGAATTCATTTATATGGCAATGGCTATGCAATTCTGAGTACATACATTTTTACAGTTAAAAATGCTATATTCCTTGTTTTCTTGATTTTTCTCAAAATGGCAATTTTGTACACCCTGCATAACAATTCCTACAATATATCTGAAACTATTACAGATAGCAGAATATTTTTTTTTTTTTTTTTTTTTGCAGCATGATGCTATACGTTTGGAGCACACAACATAGGAAGCAGATTTTGATTTCTCTTGATGCAAGTTTTTTAAACTAGTCTTTCGTGTGACCACACAATGGCCACATTCAGAGCTGTCAAGTTTAGTGTACTGTAAAGTAAGAAATAATGACCCAATCAAAAAAGTGCTTCCTATGTTGTTTATCTTATGCTTTCTACTGTCGATACCTATGTCATTTATAAATTTTTGACAGGTGGTATAAATTTTTCTATTGTGCTAAGAACAATAGAAATTGTTATCCTGATTATTTAATCAACTAATGAAGCTACAGAAAAAATAACTACATTTTTAGAATCAGGAGAACAAACTAAGTAAGCATGCCAACTTTTCACATTTGGTTCAAAAACAAAGAGAGCCCTAAGACCCATGTCCCCCCTTGATATCACTTTCCTGCTACAAAGCCAATTGTAATAGATGTAGGATGGAATAGTTGTAGGGTGCAAGTTATGAGGAATAAAATACCTCAGGCTTTAAAATTAGCCCATAAGCACTGCCCATATAGGCATACCTTTGATAGCCATACGAACCAATATTGGCGTATAGACCCATATAGGCATATATACCCATATGGGAACATCGACACGTACAGGCACATATAAGCTTTTGAATTCAGCAAAAATTTATTCAGGTGCATTTAGCATGCACACTTAATCTTGAGGTGCGATTTCGTGGCAGTGCAGGTTTTTTAGAGGAAGTTCATGCATTTGATTTGTAGGGTTTAACGTCCCAAAACCATCATATGATTATGAGAGACGCCGTAGTGGAGGGCTCCGGAAATTTTGACCACCTGGGGTTCTTTAACGTGCACCCAAATCTGAGCACACGGGCCTACAACATTTCCGCCCCCATCGGAAATGCAGCCGTCGCAGCCGGGATTCCAACCCGCGACCTGCGGGTCAGCAGCCGAGTACCGGGAAGTTCATGCAATAAAACACTTCTATTCCTTTCTTTCTGATAGTTTCAAAGTCCGGGAATTTTCAATTCACGTCATAACCAATTCAAATACTACAATATTCATTTGAACATTCGAAACGCTCATGAATATATGTATGCAGAGCCCTACTATAGCATGCACGAAAAACTTTCACAGTGTAGACGTTTGTAGCTGCCACAACCGTGTTGTTGGCACTCTCGACTGAGGCCGGCTCACCGCTACGTCGTGAACTACTTACCCCAGGCAGGTTGGGTCCCCTTAGGGTGAGCTGCAATCGAGGCTGGAGCGTCGATTCTCGTACTTCCTCGGCGTTGGCTTCGTCCGAGCCTGGGTGAGGAGACACAAAGCCCACCACAGGTCAGAGAAAACCCCATGTGACGGGTCAATACATAAACAGCAACATCTGTTACAGTTCCAAAGTACAAATACAAGTACAAGTACCGTTGCACAAGTACAAGTACCGTTGTAACCTGTTAACAACAAAGAAGCTCCCTACAAGTGACTCGGGATGAACAAAGCACATGTTACACCCAATCATTTGCATCAAGCTGGTGTAAATGCATCGTAATTTCAGTAAACAAGAATAACGTGAACAAAAGTGGGTTCCCAAGTTTGGCTGATTTTATATACAACTTTATGACTTTCTTAGCATAAACAAGTTATTGCGGCATCTGCAAGTTCCGTTTATTCAGACTGTGCTTCGAAATAGCACTAGCACAAGTTCGTGCATTTGCTCTACAAATGTCCCATGATGCAGCCCAACGATATTATAACTAAATTGAGAAGTAGCCATAATGCAATTTGCAAGTATACTGCAGGAGAATAAGCAATGACTGCAACAAATAAAAAAATAAAGGAAAACACCACAGGCTCCCACTGAAGGTGCAGTACCTGCGAGTGACTGTAGGGAAAAAAACAAAACTGACGATGTTGCAAAGTGCTACCTAACATGCATTGCAATAACAATGTCACATTTACTTCTTCAGCTGCACAGAGTTGAAAACACTGCTGTTGCATTATGTACATCCCAAAACAAAGCTCTGCGGTCCAAATTGTTGCGCTTGCTATCCACCAGCAACAGTCATTTGCTAGCATACAAAGTCATTTGCTAGCATATGTCTTGTGCGATTCGTTTTGGTGCCTGTTCAAATGAATGGCAATAAAGCCCACTTCAAGAAGTCATTAGGCACTTGGTTCCAACCATCTTGAAGCACCTGACACGTCAAATCTATCACATAGACTCGCTGGAGCTTTGAACAGCAAAAGGCATACCTGAACTGCTGGAATCAAAACTGGCTAACTTGACAAACAGTTGTGCAATATACACATTAATTATCAACAGAATATTTTAAATTTTGTCTTGAACATGGTACACGAGCTAATTAAAATCCCGTTTCCAAACAGATGTGAGGTGATACTGTGGTTACAGTTCCAGTCAGACAGAACACCAGCCAGAACCAGTAGTCACATGACAAGAAGTCATTCAGTAGAGAGAGGGAACAAACCGGAAGATGCGAACAAACCGGAAGATGCGAACAAACCACAACTTCCACCAACCAAGAGTCCACTAAGTCCGAGAGTCCCACGAAGGAAAGACGAGAAAAAGAAAAAGGGGGTGAGACAAATGAAACGTAAAGAAAAAGGTGTGCTCGTGAAAGGCATCCAACCGCCGCCATTCCAGACGCGCCGCCGCCTCGAGCCGCCGGCACCTACCACGCGGCGAATCTCGTCCCTGTGTGTGGTGTCGCTGCTGGTGGTGGTGGTGATAGTGGTGGTGGTGGGAGTGCTGCTGCTGCAGATGGGGCAGCCTGCGACCGCTTGCGGAAGACGACACGACAACGGTGCCCCCGCAGTTGCGCACCTTGCGGCGCGACTGCACGGGCGACAGAGAGGACAAAACAGAAGAAGAGGGCGGGGACCGACCTGGAGGGGGAATCTCCAAGTCCGAGGTCTGGTTCACGTTGGTGCGGCCCGGCCGGGGGTCGAACGCCGGAATCAGTGCCGAGAACTGCCGCTTCAGCACAAACTCGTCGTCCCAGCTGCGGCGCTTGCCGCTTCGCAGCTCCATGCCATCTTCCTCCTGATTTCAAAAGAACGGGGAAGAATGTAGGGTCACTAAACCCATTCATTCAGACTATCAAGGCGTAACTGAAACAGACGGGGTGGTAATTAAAGAAAGGATCATTGACTGCGGAACAATGTTTAGAGAAACCTAAACACATAATCACCTAGTTGAACAATTTTTCCTCATTGACCACGCAAGTACAAGTAACCTTTACCACAGTTCCACATAATATGAAGTCTTTGTGATTACCAGTTCAAAACAAACATGTGCGCAACCTTAATAACTTCCACATATATATTTCCGTGTTGTGTTTTCAAAGCTGCATTTTTTCCCTGCTTCATATTTAGGACTCTGGCAGATAAAAAGGGTAACGAAAAGACTTGCCACAACATCCTCGTAGTCGTCGTCATCTTCATTGTCATCATCGTCCTCATTGTCGTCATCGTCGGGCAAGTCATCGTCATCCTCCAGGTCGGCCATGAGTGTCGTGGCCCGGCAAGTCTCCAAAAAGTCCTGCTCGCTCTCGCTCGACATCGAGGTCAGGCTAACAGTCAGGCCACCGCCGCCACCACCGGCCACAGTGCCACCTGCCGTGGTGGTTGTGCTGGTGAGGCTCGGATAGCTCTGAGCCGTGCTCAGGAACCCGCCTGCATCAAAGAAGCCTCGCCACGTCATTAACAACCAAAACGTTCAGACAATGCAGAAGGACCCTGCATACAGCAAGTGCCACTTTAAACCATAACAGGCACATTTTACGATAGCTGTGATTTTTCAGATAACCCTAAGAGGTTCAGTAGAAAACACCATAATAATAATGAAAAAAAGCATTGTCTTTCTACTACAACTGAGATTTGGCAGCTGCTCTACAAATGCTGGCAACCTGGCAGACTAAAAAGAAAGGTCGTGTGTGAAGAAAGGATAGCATGGCTTGCGATGTTCATGCTATTCACAGAGCTGGCTTCCTTCACAGTGCAGAGGTAAGAAATTTTACTTTTGTATCCAACATTTGAACCATGACTATTGGGCATTATGCTATTTTTTCAAAACAATTTTACAGGCAATAAATCACCAAATGTAATAAAGACGATAATGAATTGATTGATTTGGTCACAAATAAATTTTACCTGAAAAGTGGCGGCACAGATTTTTCCCTTTTTTTTCACTATCATGATCCCGCACATTTCAAGTCAACACAAGATGCTCATGTGCAGTACAATCTACAGTACAGTAGACTCTCGGTAAACAGAACCTGAAGAAACTGGAAAAAAGTGTCCCATTTAACAGAAGTTCCGTTTACCGAGAGATGAACATGGTTGCAGAATACAAGCATGAAACCAAGCATTGCAGAGGTGATAGTTCCATTTACGCAGTAGTTACGCAGTGACAGATTTCAATTTACTGATAGTCTATTTCGGACTGAAAGATACTAGTGGACTAGAAAGAGCAACATGCTAGCCGATTCTAGCAGCCTAAACTTCAAAGATGCCAAGTTGGAATCCAATCTAGCCAGTTAGGAGCAAAACTTGCAAAGAACGAGGGAAATGAAGGAAACAAAGTACACCGACTAAATAAAAGCTTAAATGTTTCAACTACCATACAGCAGCCTTGTTCACAATGCTGTAAACAAAACTTCGCAAGAAAAAGCTTCTGTATGGTATATGGAAGCTTTCCGTATTGTGAACAAAAAGGCGAAAGGTCAATTTCTTTTAAGCTTTCGTTTGGTTGGTGTGTACTTCATTTCATTCGTCATGTTTCATCTCGACCACGGGAGTTTTTCTGTCAAACTATCAATTCCAGAAAGACGGAAAAAAAAGCTTACCCGCAGGCAGGTGATTGCCAAGCTGAGAAGAAGCTTCATTGCCAACAGCTATGTCACCAAGCAAGTCGGCAAGCACCTCTGGAAAAGATCCAATAAGCTGTCAGTCATCAGAGCACAGCAACATGGCCACACAAACCCAAAACTCTCAAAAGACACCTTAAGGGGAGACGCTCCTCGAAAGAACTTTTTTTTTTATTTCTAGTCATAGATACTTGAAACTTTTGTTATCGATATAGTTTTTCATGGAGATTGCAAATATGCAATCATTTTTTGTGTAGCTACTATAGTTGTTGAGTTATGCCATGCACAATAGCGAAAAGTCGCATGTCTTGCGGGTACTCTTTCATGTACTTAACTTTCAGCAAAAGCATTGTGTCTAATATTATTTGACTCTTGGTAGATTGTGAAGTGCAAATATTTATCCAGAAATGTCGCAGAAATATTGGAACCAAGAAAAAAAAATGGTATTAAATGACTAATTATTTTCAACCCCTCTTAGAACAATAACTTAATGTTTTCACAACTAATTCTTGTAGGCATTGCAATTTAAAGTAGATATTTGCATTCTGCATGTATTGAAGAATACGCGTGCCAAGTTTCGTTATTATACAATAAGTATAAGTGTCTAAAAAACTGCCCGGAAAACGTAAAATTGTCAAAAAAAATGGAAAAGAAAAACAAGATTGAAAGTTTGGAAAGTTGCCATTTATTAGGAAACTGTTTTTTTTTTTTTTTCCATCAAATTGGGGCACATTGAAAAGCAGCTTGCACTGAATGCTCGGAAAACGGAGAATCACGCAGAATCGTGAAAGTTGGTCGTGGCCTGCGCCTAAAGTGCGTGCTGCCAGAACTGCCTTCACGTTTTCCTTCATGAACTGCCTTCACGAAATGAGCGCTCGTCGCTTGGTCCCTGGCCGAAATAGCACATCTCGACGCGTGCGTAAATGAAAGTGTAGATTCACGACAATCGGTATTTTCACAGCACAGTTCGAGGAATGCAGAAAGGCCTTTGCGCTTTTCAGCTACCTCTTGGACGCCGAGTGTCCGTTTGCGGCAGGTTGGGCATTGCGCACCCACCACAAGGGCAGTCAGCGCATCGATTTCGCAAAGCAGCCTGTTGGCAGTCGCAGCCTGTTTCCTTTGATACTTGGGGAGAGTTGTGAACTTTTGATTATCTAGAGTGCGCTTCCTGGCGCTAGCCATGACGCAAAACTGCGGAGAAACACGACGTCCGAGGCTTCGCTCTTCTGACGGAAAGATAGGAGGGTGAGGAGGCGGAGCGCACCGCCAACCAATGGCGGCCTCGCGCTACTTGCCGCGATATTCAAAACGCCACGTATGCGTTGTTTTTCTTGTTTTTATTTATTCTTGGTGAAGATACGAGACTGGCTACTAGTGGATTGTGAAGGGGAAGGCCTTCGCAGAATGCGTGCACGATTGCAAATGGCGGCCGACGCGTCGTTTTCGCGACAGGACAACGCGAACTACGCCATTCTTGGCGACTTTTGCGCATTTCTCACGTCACCGCTCCCTACTTGGGAGCAGTTTTAGATCATATCTCGTGCGAATTTCACCTTCATATCTCCGTAAGTAAAAGACTATAGTCCAAGGATGCCAATACAACCGGGAAAAAAAAGCAAAAATTTTCCGGAAAACCGCGACTTTTCGACTCGCGTCTCCCCTCAACTCAAGGGGGGATGAGGATCTTGAATAGCACATAATTGTAAAAAATGCCGACTTTCGAAAATTGCAATTTGAGGTATTTACAAGTATTTACAATCAAAAGTATGTTTTGGAAAATTTTTATATTACGGCAAAATACCATTTTTCTTTGTTAAAAGCTTAAAGAAACACCAAAGTCGACGATTGTTGAAATGGCGGTCCAGAAACCTCGTAGTGTTACTTTTGCGCCAAGGAAGGACCTATTTTGAAATAAAATCGCGTTTTAGGGGTCCGCATTGAGTTAGCCCACTTCAAATTACCTGCCTAAAAAAGCAGACCAACCGGACCGACTCGTGTCACTGTTGCTGTGCACAACATTGCACTTACTGCACTAGTAGCAGCAGACCAAAAGCAGCGGGAGCAACAACGGCCACTGGTCGTTTCCCACCATTGGCTCTAAGCTTGCAGATGTTTTTTCGTTCAGCTGCGCCCCACTAGATGGCACCCCCTATCCAGTGTAACTACGCGAAAATTGAGTGTTTGAACCACTTCGCACCATTCTCCGTAGTAACGTCCAGCGGTTCTTTTTTCGATGAATCTCACAGAAACAAACAAGCAGTATTTTATTCCGTCTCTTGATGCATGGAACGTTCTTTATTTAGTGCAGCTAGATCAATTACTAGTGATTAATTGCAGGCGGTCCGTCTGATGTCATAGGTATCATTTTGAGAATGTCCAACTGCGGCGCATGTGTTCTTGTGCATTTACCGTATTTACTCGATTCTACCGCGCCCTCGATTGTAACGCGCACCCGATTTCCACCGCGAAAAAAAAAAAAAAAAAAGTAAGATATCAATTGCAACGCGCACCCATTTCTCTCGCTGGCCCGCACGATCACACCACTCGAAAAAACGACTCCTTTCGGGAGCGTCTTCCATTTAAATATGAGGTACGGGCGAAGCTTGTGCCCATCTGACGTGTAACAGAGCATTGCCGTCACTGTAGTTTTACCGTAAACCGATGTCAGCACGCGAACTTGCTTCGCCCCCTTCTTCTCGACGGTTGTGGTGCCAGGCATGTCGAAGTAAAGAGGCGTCTGATCGGCATTCCCGATTTGCCCAAGCAGGTAGCCGTTGTTGCGCCGCAAGTTTAGGACGAACCTCTGAAAACTGTGAAGCTTTTCATCGTACTCCTCCGCAAAACTTTTCGCATATGCATGTTCCCCTTCGGAGGAAAAAGCCTTTCCTCTTCATAAAGTTAGTTAGCCAGCACCTGCTCGCTTTAAAACTGGCTCCGCATTAGACCTTTTTCTAAGACTAATTGGATAGCCCGCACTTGGAGCAGTTCTGTCATCACGGGCCGCTGTGCGACTCGCTGCTCAAGCACATACTCGCCGAGCAGCTCCTTAATTTGCGGAAACCGACCCTGGTGTGATCCACAGAAGCCTTTGCGGGAAGTTTTGCTGTCGACAATCTTCTGCTTTTGTTTCCGCCGGTCCCGCACGCACATTTCGGGAACTCCGAATGACCGCGATGCGGCCCGATTTGCGTCCGTTTCTGCACACGCGATGACTTTTCTTTTAAAAGCGGCATCGTGGTGCACTCGAGTTTTGGGAGTCGGCCCATCCACGCCGTCGATTCAAATGCACTACTAGATGATGAACTCCTCAGCACACGCACGAAGTGCCGCACATGAAAAACACATAGGCAGAAATGGCCGACGCGCTATGCCCACGCACGTAGGGGGCGGCCATTTTGGATTTGCCGATGGCAATAAATTGACCGTAATTTTTTTGTTCGTACTCAGTTCTAACGCGCGTGCGATTTATGAACTCGCTTAACCGGAAAAAAGGTGCGCGTTAGATTCGAGTAATTACGGTACCTTAATTTCTCGGTAAGTAGGGCCCTGTTGTTGATAATATAGTTGTTTTATATGTTGTCATACATTGAGCTTTCACTCTGACAGAAATTGTTATTTGACTTCAGTGTACTTTTAATACATGAAATTACAAATGTTTTTATAACTGAAAACCTAATTTTCTTGCCATTGTTATTTTTGTGAAGTGAATCTGCCTAGCTGAAGTTTTGAGCAAGTTTCTCTGAAAATATCTGAACAAACTTGGTACCATCCTTTTCCACAGCATTTGAACTACAGGCTAAAGCTTTTCTTTTTCTCTCAACCTTGATAGAATTGTAATTATATGATGAATACCAGCTAATCACTCCAGTTACACACCCCTACGTACTTTGTCCCCCCCGCTACTCTGAGCACCCCGCGTTGCCAGACGAGGCCAGTGTTTTCACACCGCCACTGATCTTTCGAAGACCGGTCGGCCATCTACCCCGTTTTTGATCGCTGGTACTGTCGTTGACGTCGCCGGCCTGGAGTGACCAGACAATTAGGCAACATCGTCGGCCACCGACTGTATTTGATATAGTCTGCGTTTGGTGCACACGCGTACGCTACCCCACCGACTGATAATTTGCGATTCGTTCCGTGTTTAGGACTTGTTCTCGCTCCCTTTGCACTCAACTCAGCAAGCCTTCTGCTTGCGCGTGCGAAAGCGCGAAAAACGGCTGCTGATTTGGCAGAACGAATCGCGAAATATCGAAGTTCGTGAGGCCACGCGAACCCGCTGGCGCAACAAAACTATTTTTTGACCACGGCCGCCGATTCTTCGAACAGTGCCTGCGTGCACCGATTCAGGTGGCCATGCACCCTTTCAGAGTTTTTCTACGTGCGAATTTCGCGGACCTTTCAAGCAAGCTACCCAACCTGCCTCCTTCCCATGTGTTTTGATTCCCCTCCAGCCCTCCAGCCGGTCGCCCTCCAGCTGCATCCTCCCCTCTCTTTATCGCAACTCCTTGCCCTTCCCTCGCCAGTCTGCCCTCCTCTCTTGGTCACAGCCCCTTCGCCAGTCTCCACGGCTCCGTGACGCCCGCCACGCTGGCTCGAATTAGTTTCATTTTCTGACTGGAAACGGGCCCAGAGCTGTTTCACGCGTTCTGGCATGTGTGTCGCCTGCACGCGTCTTGCTCGCTCTTGGTGTGCGTGTGTGGTCACGATGACCGACGGGACGACTAGCACGCTTTTTCCAGCCGCTCAACAAAACGTCGAAAGTGTGACCGCTTGGCTTGGGCGTAATCCGCGCGTTAGGTGCCGCGTTGCGGAGCGCTTGCTCATAGCTGTTGACCACCTGGCAGCCAACTTGCCGCTTCGGGCGTCCCGGTATTCATCTGTGGAGATGGTGAATATTTCGTGGGCGGCAGTGATGACTACATGTGCGCGAAACTGTTTTCGCGAGGCCGACTTTGTCGACGTCGGGCCCGATGCCGAGCCTGAAGCTTCCGAACTGCGGCGGCGATTTGTGGCAGCGCTTCGTCGACTCTGACCTGGGAGAGCGGGTGGGACATCTG